GATTGAGTGGCCAGCCAGTAGCCAGAATTGCAAATGAAAGAAGCCCCACACCAAAGTACATCTTTGAGAAGTTTCAAGTTGATGTACTAGGCCACAAACCTCATACACCTTCTTATAGTCCCTCTCTGCCTTTTCTCTCTCTCCTGGATAGCACCCTGTTGGCTCTCCACATGTAGGCCGAGTTGCTCCTCCACTTTTAGAATTGGAGGAAATGTATGATGCAATGTGAATCCTGGTTTCTAGCAAGCTGCTGAAGGTCTGGACTACATACCTGGAAATAACAGACTAGTTAGCTTTTGGGTAATCCTTGGCTAATGGAAATAGGAGATGAGAGGGAGCTGGGTAGATGGATTTCCCCCTTCTTCACTCTCCCCTGCAGTTCCTGTTTATGACCCTTCCAGACGATTCTATTGTGCCTGATGGATCGGCAGCCACCTGGTAACACCTGGCATTGCATCCCCTTCCCTCACTCCTTTTCCCTCTGTGTTCTATTATAAAAGCCTTCAAACATACAGGAAAGTTGAAAGAATTTAAAACAAGCACCTATATACCCATTACCTAGCATTTGCTATGGACATTTGGAACAGCTTTATTGAGATATAATTTAAATACCATAAAGTTGACCCATTTAAAGTGTACAATTCTGTAGATTTTCGTGTATTCATAGAGCAATGCAAACATTATCACACTTTTAGAATCTTTTCTTCACCCTCTACCCCTTTGCAGTCATTCCCACTCCCCCTGTCCCAACCTTAAGCAACCACTAACCCACTTTCTGGCTCTATGGAATTGCCTATTTTGGACATTATATATTAATGGAAACCCAATATGTGGCCTTTTGTGTTTAGTTTCTTTTACTTCACATAATGAGTTCAAGGTTCATCCATGCTGTAGCATGTATCAGCACTTCATCCATTTTTATGGTCAAACAGTATTCCATTGTATATCATTAATAATTTATTGGATTCACTTTATCACATGTCTATCCATCTATCCATACCTCTACTGATCCATTAACCTGTCCTATATCTTTCATGTATTTCTGAGTGGGCTTACTCCCCTTTCTCCCCAACCCTCAGCACCTTTGCCTTATACATCTCCCAAATAAAGCTCATATCATATGATCTCTTTAGGTACAAAGGAAGCTGAAAGACGGAGTGCTTAGCCTTCTGATCTCTGATAGGGAGATACACGGGGAAAGGGAGACTGGGAATGGATTTTTGCTATTTCGGCATACAGTGTTTCTCAATCTCATCCATATCTCTCCCTCTAGTCTTCCCTCCCACCGTTGTATCCCACAGATCTTGTGTTCCATAAATGCCAAATTCCTTAAAATTCCCTGAACACCCCACGTTATTTCTGGCTCCATCTCTTGTACATGCTTGTTAGCTGGCTAGCTTTCTCTGGGTGACAGATTCTTCCCTCATGATTCAGCTCAGCTATCACTGACTCTTCAGAGAAGTATCAACACACACACACACACACACACCTCTGGCCTCCCTGTGCTTGTTTTATACTCCCATACTGGCATTTACTCTATTGAATTAACCTTTTGACCTTTCTCCACCAGCCTGTAAATCCTGAAGGGCAGGGGCCAGGTATTATATATCTTGGTATCCCTAGAACTTACTCAGCTTAGCTCAATAAATATCGGTTGGATGGTGAGGCCCTACAGTAAATTCCTAGTTTGGATATAAAGATGAGTAAGATTTCATCCTGGGTCTCAGGGGAGCCTACAGGACCCTGTTGTCTGGAGAAATGCAAAACTAGACAAGATTCTAGGACAACAAATGTAAACTGGGACTGTACCCAGCAAACCGGAACGTATGGTCACCCAAATTATATATCAGCTTCTATGAAAACAGCCGTGCCATGCTGACTCATGCTCAGCCTGTCAGACCCCAGTCACTTCCAGAACAAGCCAACTACTTCCCATTAGTGCTTGGGTCATATATAATTTTCATCGTTATTATCCATGTAGAAATTATCTATGAAATGTAATATTCCTAAGGCATTATATGTATAGTGCATAGAAAAACATATACTTAAGGAATCAGAAAAAAAAATCACCCAATACACAACTAACACTTTCCAACTTTTTTTTTTTAAAAAAGGTTTTATTTATTTACTCATGAGAGACACAGAGAGAGGCAGAGACACAGACAGAAGGAGAAGCAGGCTCCATGCAGGGAGCCTGATGCAGGACTCGATCCTCTGACTCCCAGATCACACCCTGAGCCAAAGGCAGATGCTCAACCATTGAGCCACCCAGGCATCCCTTTCCAACCTTTTTTGATGTACTGGAATGTATATTTGTAATAAGTGTGTGAAGTCCATTATATATATATAAACTTCTTGGTATTAGCAATAGACTCTAATCTGTTGTCTTTATTGATGGGCATTTGGAGGTTTCCAGCTTGTGACCATTATGAATAATGGAGCTATGAACATCTCAATGTAGATTCCTTTTTCTTTTTTCTGAGTCATTTCTTTGAGGTATATACTCAGGATTAAGTAACCTGGTTGAAGGATAGGAACAGTTGGTACATATTATTTGCTATGACTCTATATCTTACTGCTCTCCTAAAAGTATGAGTCAATTTATAGAGCACCTCTGTTTCTCACAGCTCTGCTAAAAATTTATAGTATCATTTTTATGGACTAATAGAAGCTTATTATCATTTTAGGGTGTTCTTTGAATTTTTAATTGCTACAGAGGTCATACATTATACTTTAGCCAAAAACAAGTTAGTTTTTGGAAAACATATGTGTTTGTGTATGTGTGTGTATATAGTTTATAAGTTATGTTATAGATATTCATTAAATATTTGTTGGGGACACCTCAGTGGCTCAATCAGTTAAGTGTCCAACTCTTGGTTTTGGTTCAGGTCATGATCTCAGGGTTTTTGGATCGAGCCCCATGTGAGGAGCTCTGTGCTTAACCTGGAGTCTGCTTGGGATTCCTTCCCTCTCACCCACCCTCTCCTTCTGCCCCTCCCCCTGCACACACATGTACTCCCTCCATCTCTCTCTCTCTCTCTCTCTCAAATAAATAAATAAATAAATAAATAAATAAATAAAATCTTTTTAAAAATCTGTTGAATTAATGTATTAAAATAACACATTCACAAAAAGACAATAACTGCATGATTCCACATTCATGAGGTACCTGGAGTAGTTAGATTCATAGAGACAGAAAGTAAAATGGTGGTTGCCAGGGCCTGGGGTGGGGGTGGGGGGCAATGGGGAGTTGTTGAATGGGACTAGAGTTTCAGTTTTGCAAGACAAAGAGAGTTCTGGAGATAGAAAGTGATTATGGTTGTACAACAATGTGAATGTACTTAGTACTCTCGAACTGTATATTTAAAAATTATTAATAAAGTAAAATTTTTTTTAATTTCTTTTAATTTTTATTTATTTATGATAGTCACAGAGAGAGAGAGAGAGAGAGGCACAGAGACATAGGCAGAGGGAGAAGCAGGCTCCATGCACCGGGAGCCCGATGTGGGATTCGATCCCGGGTCTCCAGGATCGCGCCCCGGGCCAAAGGCAGGCGCCAAACCACTGCGCCACCCAGGGATCCCTAAGGTAAATTTTTTTAAAAAAATTCTTTATTCATGAGAGACACACAGAGAGAGAGGCAGAGACACAGACAGAGAGAGAAGCAGGCTCCCCACCAGGAGTCCAATGTGGGACTCAATCCCAGGACTGCAGGACCATGACCTGAGCAAAAGGCAGACACTCAACCGCTGAGCCACCAAGGTGCCCCAAGAGGGTAAATTTTATGTTATATAAAAAAATATGTTTTTAACCCAGTGGTTATTTGGCATGTATTATCAGTAGAAATGTGCCTGCAAAAAATAGTCAGGCATGTTACGTGAAATTTCATGTGTGGAATTTTTTATTTTTTTTATTTATTTTTTATTTTTTTTAAATTTTTATTGATTTATGATAGTCACAGAGAGAGAGAGAGAGAGAGAGAGAGAGAGATTGAGGCAGAGACACAGACAGAGGGAGAAGCAGGCTCCATGCACCGGGAGCCCGACGTGGGATTCGATCCCGGGTCTCCAGGATCGCGCCCTGGGCCAAAGGCAGGCGCCAAACCGCTGCGCCACCCAGGGATCCCCGAATTTTTTAGATTAAAATGATTATGCTAATTTTTTAAATGCAGACACTGAGTGTGATATTAATATTGTTATATAGCAAATAGAGTAAGAATCAGAGACCAGATAATATATAAACATTCAATATTAGCAATAAAGTGTTCAACCTTTAAAAAACTATGCATCTAATTTTCTATTATCTGTGAGTAAAATACAGAGGCAGAGGTTAGGGGAATCATAGAGACATCCACTTGAAGTTTTTACCTTAATGATGAAGTGTGGGGCTACGTGACCTCCCCATTTCAAGGGCAGCTTCATCTATCCCTTTATTTTATTATTCATTCATTCATTCATTCATTCATTTATTCAGTAGGCTCCATGCCTAGCATGAACCCTCAGCTGAGATTAAGAGTCAATTGTCTGAGCCACCCAGGCACTCCTCATCTGTCTCTTTTAGAATGCACTTCAGCCGGGCTCCTGAGTGGCTCAATGTCTGCCTTCAGCTTGGTTGTGATCTATGGCTCCTAGGATCAAGCCCAGGAACAGGTCTCTGCTTAGTGGGCAGTTTGCTTCTCACTCTCCCTCTGTGCTCTCTTTCTCTCACTCTCTCTCTTTCTCTCAAATAAATAAATAAATAAATAAAATCTTTAGAAGGCACTCCATCTAAATTCTCTTTACTTCTCATTGGCCAGAATGGATGACATGGCCTGCACCAGCTCCACCAGAGGCTGCTAGGAAAGCAGAGGCTATATCAGGTTAGACACATTGCCACCCCAAATAAGTTAGGATTCCCCTTCACAAAGAAAGAAAAGGAGAATGGGCATTGGACAGGCAATCAGCAGCATCTGTTATACTCACATTAGTGTTTTTGTTTTGTTCTTGTTTGGGGTGCTACAGGCTGGAACCAATGGTTATATGGCGCCTGAAATCCTAATGGAAAAAGTGAGTTATTCCTATCCTGTGGACTGGTTTGCAATGGGATGCAGTATCTATGAAATGGTTGCTGGACGGACACCATTCAAAGATTACAAGGAAAAAGTCAGTAAAGAGGATTTAAAGCAAAGAACCCTAAAAGAAGACGTCCAGTTCCAACATGATAACTTCACAGAGGAAGCAAAAGATATTTGCAGACTCTTCTTGGCTAAGAAACCAGAGCAACGTTTAGGAAGCAGGTAAACTACCATATAATAGAGGTGATTAGCCATGTCAACATTGTCCATGGGATTTGGAAAATACTTTGGATTAGTGACAAGGCCTCAGAATTCAGTATTATTATTTTCCTATTATTCTTTGCATATTATATGGTTACATATTTCCAATACTTTCAAACACCGTGAGCACTCAATGTAGGATGATCTCAGATATATCTTAAAGTGAAAAAAGTGAGGTGCAAAACAGCATACTTCAAAGAAAAGAAATCTATAATTTAAATAGTTGCCTAGCATGAACCCAAATATTTTGGGCAGAGTATACAAAGAATGTCTATGATTGGTTGCCTCTAAGAAAAAGAAATTAGGGGCAGGTGACAAGTATGCAAATGAGGATTTTCACTCTGTGACCCTATTATCTTTTGAATTTTGAATCATGGGAATAAAATGATTCAAAAATGAATAAAATTAAAACTAAAACTTAAAACCCATCAGTACTGGAAATTTATAGCTCTGGAAAATTCTGCCCCTTTTAAATGTCTCTGCAAGATGTCAACTGGTCAACAGATATTTAGTGAGTACATATACTATTGCCAGGTATGTTAAATACAGTTGATGTTACTTTTGAAGAAAGTTGAGTTTTATTGCTTACATGGAATAGTAAGATCAAGATATTTTAGGAGAAACAAAAGAAGTAAAAGCTGACCTATAAAAAGGCCCTGGGCAGTGGATGACTGTGTTCTACAAAGAAAAAACCTAGGACTTTAGATTCACAAACATAGACTCACATCCTAGCTCTATATGTCATTTTACCTCAAGCAATTGAACTACTTTCTCAGAGTCTCAATATCTTCATGTTTCAAAATGAGGGATTTAGAGGTGTAATGATTAATTTTTTGACAACTTGATTAGGTTACAATACTCAGATAATCAATTATTCTAGAGATTTCTGTGCAGGTATTTTTTAGTTAAGATTAATATATAAATCAGTAGGCTTTGAGTATAGGAGATTATTCTTCATAATGTGGGTGGATCTCATCCAATCAGTTGAAGGCCTTAACAGAAAAAGACTGACTTCCCTGGGAGAAGAGGGAATTCTGCTGACAAAACACCTTTGGACTTGAAGTGCAACTCTTCCCCTGAGTCTCCAGCTTGACAGCCTACCTTGCAGGATTTGGACTTGCCAAACCTCCACAATTGTGTGAGCCAATTCCTTAAAATAAACTTCTCTCTGCCTTTTTTACTTTCCTTCCTTCCTTCCTTCCTTCCTTCCTTCCTTCCTTCCTTCCTTCTTCCTTCCTCCCTCCCTCCCTCCCCTCTTTCTCCCTCCTTCTCTTTTCTTTTTCTTTCTTCCTCCCTCCCTCCCTCCCTCCCTTTTCTCTTTTTCTTTCTGTCTTTCTTTCTCTGTTTCTCTTTTTCTCTTCTCTCACTCTCTCTCTCCCTCGCCCTCTCGCAATCGCTCTCATATACATACACACATTACTGTCAGGGAGAAAAACTTTTCCTCTACCCTCTTAGGTTTGGAAGCCTGCAAACTAAGCTGACAAAAAACAGATTAGCAAGAGAAAAAGGCAGGTTTTTATTGATGCACATATACAAGAATTCACAGAAAAAATGTGACTGGGATCAATTAGAATTATAGGCCACCTGAATAGGGGAAGGGGAGGAGGAGAAGGGTACTTGCAGGAAAACAAATAATTTCTTAGAATTGGTGGGGGGAAGGGCACTTCTGTGAAAACAAATGACTTTAGGAGAGATAAATGGGTCCTCAGGAGAAGAGATGGGAGATAATGATAGTTTCGTGACAATCTGTTTAGGTGTGGTGCAGACAAGAAGAGTCAAGCTTTCCCAGCTCTAAAACTCCCAGGGAGATTTATGAGTTGAGTTTCTGGGGGAGTCTTTGCTACTAGGCCGATAAGGGGAGTTCAAAACCTGTTGACTCGCAAATGCCTTCAGCTCAAAATAATTTTTATGCTACTGTGGTACATTCTGGACCCCTTCAACATCCTGTTTTGTTTTTTTTAAGATTTTATTATTTATTCATGAGAGACACAGAGAGAGAGAGAGGCAGAGACACAGGCAGAGGGAGAAGCAGGCTCCACAGAGGGAGCCGGCTGCGGAGTCGATCCTGGAGTCGATCCTGGGAGTCGATCCTGGAGTCGATCCTGGGAGTCCCAGGATCATGCCCTGGGTGGAAGGCAGGCACTAAACCGCTGAGCCACCCAGGGATCCCCAGCATCCTGTTGATTCTGTTTCTTTAGAGGATCCTGGCTAATACAGTGGGATACTTTGAGGTTTAGATATGACATATATAAAGTTAGATATAATGTATGTTCAGACCTGTTCAAAAAGTGATAGCAATTATTACTAGTTTATTCTAAGAGAGATAGCAGATAATATTTTGGCTAAATTATGAGCTTGAACGTCTAAATTCTTAGATTGAATTTTCAAAATTTTAAAATATATACAAATACAAAAGCTACAACATGAAGTTATAGGACTGATTTTTAATATTTACCCCAGAATGTAGGCAGTAAAATTACCCTTAATCTTCCAAGTAGCTGCTGGTGAAGGCTCTAGAAGAGGCTGCCTTAATTCAAAATATTTGAATATGGAGGTAAGCTTTTAATTTTCAACCTCATTTCTTTAAATAGCAAAACAAAATCCATTTGTAATAACTTCCAAAGCATGACAGATACCAAGCTAACAAATGAGCACTTTGAAATTTGACGGAATCTCTACGTTTACGTGAAGTAAAACCTGGAACTGATTTTCCTGTATAGCTTCCAACATTGTTGTATTAGTGTGGTCAGAATCAGCCATGTCATGATAACAAGCAAATCCCATAGTCTCCACAGCTTGAAATGAAAGGAATTTTTCTCACTCACACAAAGTCCATTATGGGTGCAGCAGCCCTCCCTTCGGGTATCTCCCTTCAGAGCAGTGACTCAGAAAGCCAGGCTACTTTCCATTTGACAGCTCCATTGGAACTTGAGGCTTCCAGTCACTATAGCAAGAGAAGAAAGGGTAGAGAACCTAGAGGAGCTTTGTACTGCCTCAGCAGGGAAGTGACCTACACTCACTTCGGTTTGGCCAGAAGGAGCCCTTGGCCCTATACCAGGTAGAAGGATCTGGCTAGTGTTGCCTTCCATGTGCCCAGGAAGGAGAGGAGAACCAGAAATGGTGACCACTGACCATCTCTACTGTAGGGCAGGGAGTATAAGAGGGCACACCAACAGTGGAAGAGGCAGCAAGGAAAAAGCAGTCTCTTCAGATGACCTCCCTGAAGGGATTACCACCCACTTGGCATGTTTGATTGAAAATCTATCTTGATACTCTATAAACACACTTTGGGTATATAAAATGAAATATTGACAAACTTCTTCAGGAAAATACCACCTTAAAGCCCTGGATCATTGCCTGAAGCTGCTCCATCAAGCAAAACTTTTTTATAAAGCATCTGTTGTTGTGACTGTTTTGAATAAAACTGTTTACAACATTAGAGAAAAGGCATATAAAAACCAGCTGTTCGGTGAAAGAGAAAACCTTCTAACATTTTTATTTCAGCTCTCTGTATATTTTTTAAATTAAAATGAGATAATGTTTGATGAATTTAGTGGTGTCCTTCAAAGCCAAGCAAATGCCTACACAACGTGTTAAAAGGCAGAGGGGTCAAGTGCCCCTTCCCTCTTGCATTCACAAACATTTGAAATAAATTTTAAAACACTTTTCCTTCTTTAGGCATCATTGAAAGCATCTCCTCCTTTGTCTTTGTAGGTCTGTGAATTAATTTTGCATAGAAGTCGAAAGCTTTTCAGAGCCTCTCACAAAGGCTCTAGATAGGGTTTATGATGTTTTCTAATAAAATAAAAGCTGAAGACCACTTAAGCACTTTGCAGGTTTTCTTCCAATCAGTCACTACAGCAGAACAAGATCAAATAACCATGCAAATCTCTGACTTAAGTGCTTCCCCAACACATAATTTCGTACCAATACGTACTGTTCCTGGCAGACCAAACCCCACAGAGTGGTCTTCAAGTATGCTCAGTTGGTATCTTTCCTTCATTAACTGTTATAAGAAAATGCGTCGTAATCTCTCTGCGGGGTTCAGTAATACAAGAGCTCCTGTAAATGCTCCGAAATAGAATCTACTCCAGTCAGGAGGAGAAGTCTTCCTGCCACTGCCAGGCTGGCTATTGCAAAAGATGTTGCCTCCATCAATAGCCTCTCCTATTTGTCCAAAGTGCACTGCATAATGATGGGCCAAAAGGTCCCTGAATGAAGCTGTCAGGGAAAGATTCAAGAGTAAAATAATAATATCCATGTGATTTCTAATTACAGAACTGAGGTAAGAGTCATTAGTGCAAAGGATAAAGCGATCAGATTTGCAGTGGCCCAGACCCTGAGTAAAAGGAATAGGGGTTGGAAAGCCTAGTCTTGTTGTTAGCATCAGCAACCACAGACAGAACTGTTCACCCTCTTGTCAAGACTGGCTAAGCAAGTTTCTCAAGGTTCCTGAGCCCCTGGGCACTCTTTGTTTATCCACGTTAAAGCTGCTCAGCGTGAGGTTAAGGTGCTCTCTTGACCCCTAGGACAGTGTGTTCATACCTGCTGGTGGCCATCAAGGGGTTTCCAGCTCCTTCCTCATGGCACCTGGACCCATTCCAACTCCTTTGTTTTCTTTGAGACACAAAATCTTGGGGTTCATTCCTTATCTCCTTAGGTGGAATTCTAGGTCTGTCCTTGTTCTGCTACATTTAAATTCTCTCTGATATCCTCCCCACCACCATTTGCTGTGTAAATTATACCTCAGTAAACCTAATTTAAGAGAAAAATCCATCTTACTGAATTATCTCAGTAACCCTCCCTCAAGGCTCTGACTCTACAGGATGTAAACCACACAGACATCAGTCATTAGGTTCTAGAAGACAGCAAGCCTGCATTTTCCTTCCTTTCAATTGATGGAGACTTGGTGGCTTGGGATAAAAAAGACACAGACACCTTGTAGTATCTCATGATACAGTTCTCCATGCTTGTTTTCCAGTAGGGTCATAATGAGAAAAGTCCAAGGAGTCCTGCGTCAGCCATCCTGGATGGGGCTAGACCTGAATCACAGAACAACCCAGGGACTGGCTGGGCATCAAATGCCTCCAGCTGGATTTCTCTTTTCCATAATAATATTTTATTATAATTTTCCTTTGAAAAATTCACCTGTGTTTTTTGGCCTTTTCAGACGCACAGCTATATATGAATGCAGAAGCAAATAAAGAGGTTAAAAATACAATGAAAAGACAGACAGGCATTATTGTGATGGTTAAATGTGATAACATAAATGCAGAGCTTAACTTTGTGAGCTAAAAGTGAGTTCAGGATAAATGCCAGTTATTCTCACTATTGTTATTAGTAACATCATGATTGTGTTTAGAACCTGTTAGAGTCCACCGCAGTAATTATCTGACATAGTAGGAAGTCTCTAAAGGGAGATTTCCTCAATCCTTTTCCTAAAAGCTTTTTGATAACTGGAATAAAAGTAAAAGGAAACGTATGAAAGTGATTAATTTTTACCAAGGTTGATTTATGACATAAATTGAATTTTCTGTCAAAACAAAACGAAACAAAAACCTGTACTTAAGAGGAACCAAGAGAAATGTGCAGTAGGCTGCCCCTAGTGTGCCCCCAAAGATCCCCACCTCCTTTTTTGTTTTTAAGATTTTATTTATTTATTCATGAGACACACACACACACACACACACACACACACACAGAGGCAGAGACATAGGCAGAGAGAAAGGCAAGCTCCATGCAGGGAGCCCGATGTGGCTCAATCCTGGGACCCCATGATCATGCCCTGGGCCAAAGGCAGGCCCTCACCGCTGAGCCACTCAGGCGTTCCTCCCCACCTCCTATTATCCACACTCTTGTGTAATCCCTTCCCTTAAGGGTAGGCTGGATTTATTCATCTGCTTCTAACAACATGGCAGAAGTGATAAGATATCATTTCTAAGATTAGGTAGTAAGAAGACTGTGCCTTTTATCTTGGGTTCACTCTTTCTCTTTCCCATCCTCCCTTCCTCCCTCTCTGATCATTTGCCCTGGGGAAAGCCAGCTGTAAAGTTATAAGGTAGCTTTGTGAAGAGGCTCATGTGGTAAGGTATGAAGACCTGCCAATAACCATGTGAATGAGCTTGGAAGCAGATTTCCTCCCCTAACCCCAGCTGAACCTTCAGTTGAGACCATAACCTTGATGAAGAGCTTTTTTTTTTTTTTTTTAAGATTTTATTTATTTATTTTCATGAGAGACACACAGGGAGAGGCAGAGACATAGGCAGAGGGAGAAGCAGGCTCCCTGCAGGAAGCATGAGGTGAGACTCGATCCCAGGACCTTGGGATCACGACTTGAGCCAAAGACAGGCACTCAACCACTGAGCTACCAGGTGCCCCCCGATGAACAGCTTTACTGAAACCTCATGAAAGACCTTGAGCCAGAGGCACCCAGTTAAACTGGTTCTAGATTCTTGACCCACAGAAACTGAGATAATAATGTTGTTTTAAGCCACTGAATGTTGGGGCAGTTTGTTACACAGCAATAGATCACTAATACAAGAGGTCACACAGTTGGAAACATATATTCCTCCCCCCCCCCCGCCCTTATACTATGGCAAATACTGGAATGATTTCTAACACAAAGAAGAAGGGCTTGATAAAAAATAGCCATAGTCTTGAGCATTGAATGGATGCTACTAAAAATTAGTAATGGATTTTTTAAATCTTTAAAAATATTGTGGCAGTTGGGGAGGTAGGTGGAGCTCCTAAAAATCATGTTATATGAAGAGTGAGGAGATATGGGTGCTGTCTTTAGAATGTGAGGGGGGCTGTGTGGGAAGAGACATGCTTCCCTTGTTCAGTGTGACCCTGAAGAGTAGAGCAAAGTGCAATGACTGGAAGCTGTAGGCAAGCAGGTTCGGGTTCCACTGAATTTTGCCTGTATTTCCATAGAGCACTAAAAATAAAAGTCATGTCAACTGCTTGACTCTGAAGATTAGATCTACATGTGAAATTTATCTGCAAACAACGAAGATGCTACTGTCTGCATAAGATGGAATTGTGGGTAAATTTTTTAAAATCATGGGTGATTTTTCAAGTTATTATTTTTCCAAATTATTCTTTACATCGTTATATTGTCTTTGAAATTAAAATAAAATGTATTGCAGGAAAAGAATGCTACACACTTTGTATTGTTAAAACATTTCCTGTTTTGGTTTGTTACTGTGTCTAAGGCTGACCATCTCCTTTCTTCACAGAGAAAAGTCTGATGATCCCAGGCAACACCCTTTCTTCAAAACCATCAATTTTGCTCGCCTGGAAGCTGGCCTGGTTGAGCCCCCATTTGTGCCAGATCCTTCAGTGGTTTATGCCAAAGACATTGCTGAAATTGAAGATTTCTCTGAGGTTCGGGGAATCGAATTTGATGATAAAGACAAGGTGTTCTTCCAAAGATTTGCAACAGGTGCTGTCCCCATAGCATGGCAGGAAGAGATTATAGAAACAGGACTGTTTGAAGAATTGAACGACCCCAACAGGCCTGCAGGTTGTGGGGATGGTAATTCATCCAAGTCTGGTGTGTGTTTGTTATTATAAGTTGTTTTCTCTACCAGATGGGCAGCAGGAATCTCAGCTGACATAATCCTTGAATGTTCCTAACACATGAAAATCTGTTGAATGAGGACTGATCAATCAGGAGGGGCATTTCAACCATAGAACAGTTCAAAGGACAGGTGAGCTTACCACTAGGACACATTTTTCTCCCCTCCGCTCCACCTCCCCTCTCTTTCCCCTCTCCCCCCCTTTCTCTTACTCTCCACCCTACCCCTTACCTCCTTTCCTCTTCCCCTCTTCTACCCCTTTTCTCCACTCTCTCCTTCCCTTCCTCTTCTTTCCTCTCCTTTCTTCCTCCTTCCTTCCTTCTCTCTCCCTCTCTCTCTCTCTCCCCCCACCTCTTTCTTCTTTCTCTCTTTTTTCATAAAGATGAGTAAAGTCTCAGTTTCCACTGAAGCCTGGGAAAAGGAACACTCAGGTTTATTTTGATAAACTAAAAGCATGAGCCCGCCACCATCATGTCCCTGAAAATTACACAAAGTCCTAGGAATAGAGAATGGAACGTTGTGGTAATGCTCAGAAAATGAGCATTTGCAATTCTTGGTAAATAATCATTTTAGTTTTTCTTTGTTTATATCCTTTCTTCCCTTCATCTTTCAGTATTTCTTTTGCCTCTGTACTTATAAAAAGGATTTAAAAGCTGGAAATAAATGTTCCTGATATCCTCCCCCTAAAAAGGAGTGGATTGTAATATTTGGGCAATATTTAAAATTACAGAATAATTTTTAACTTACCGAAAGTCCCTTTGTCATATTCCGGCAATATTTTACCATTATAATGTTGAAGCATTTTAAACATAAACACTCATGAGATCTGTGAATTAAAGTATTCCGTAAGTTGAGTCCTTTAGGTAACATGCTACAAATTGCTTACATGTATTTTTCCACATGCCATTAGTTCCCAAACTTTGCTGAACTTTGGAATCACCTAGGGATCTTTTAAAAGTACCAATGTCTGACTCCTCCCCCCAGATTTTAATTGGTCTGGGGTGCAGTCTGGGCATCTAGATTCTCAGAAGCTCCGTAGGTGCTTCTAATATCCGGCAAGTTTGAGAACCATGCCACATAGGCTTAAATGCTGTTATGTAGGGTTCTTGTTTGGGTTGCTCAAGGTTTCAACTGTACATTTGGGAGCAACTTTTTTTTGGGGGGGGGGGTAGCAACTTTTCAAATACCTCCAAAACACGTAATTTTGGCAGTTGCAGTATATATGAAACTGAAGATAATCTGTATTCATCCTGTAGACTTTCCTGTCCTTGTACACTGTAGTTCTTCACACATATCTTGTGAAGTAGGCTTTTGGCTCTAAGGCTCTTGGCTCTTTCAAGACTTGAAGGAGAAATATAGGCTTTGGCAGCTGATTTGAACAAATGGTAGCCCTCACTTCAAGTGGCTACTCAGCCAGCACTTTATTGTAGAATTAGCACTTCTCATGAGCACAGCCAAAGTGAAAATTCTAAGGGTGCAAAAAAATATTTGGGGCACAAATAAATATAAATCTGAGGTGATTATACTTAAAGAAAAAAAGGGGGGCACCTGGCTGGTCAGCTGGTAGAGCATGTGACCCTTGACCTCAGAGTGGGGTTGTGACTTCAAGACCCATGTTGGGCATAGAGCTTACTAAAAATAATAATAAAATGAAATTTTTAAAAAGGGTAAAAAAAGATGTATGTGTGCATTAGGAAATCTCACTTGTCCCAGTGGTGAGAAACCTGGCTGAATCATTTTAAAAGTTTTCTCTCTTGAGTAAGGGAGCCAAGAGTTGCAAAAACATTGGTCAAAAAATATTTGGTTAACTGGAATCCAGCTAACAATAATCCTCAATTATAAGACAGCATTAGCCATATCCTGCAGGAGTAGTAAGAAATACTCTTGGACTTGAGTCCTGGGTTAGTTCATCTGCTACTCACCCTTCTGCTCATTGTCTATCCTCAGCAAGTTCTTGATGCTCCAAATCCTGCTCTGGAGACACTGCAGAGTCCTGGGTCATCAAAGCAGATACAGGTGTGTCCAGCAGATTCTTTTTCCTAAGACAAGAAAGTAGATTAAAATCTGATGAAATTTGTAACAAGTCTATTTTAACAAAAAACAAAATCACAAGACAGAACTTTCCAAGAGTAGTTTTTAGTATTTAGCTTTATAATTAGACATTTCAAAGTAATGTCTTCTTGCATTGGTTCCTTATTGTAAATGTCTACTGCTTTTGATAAACTTTAGTAGAAATCTGTGTTTCATTTCTTAGAACTAACTCAAAAAAGTAATTGAGGAAGATAACTATATTCAAACAATCTCCAAGTAAATATGTGTTGAGTTAAGTTACACATTGAGCCCTATCCTGGGTATTTGGGGGACGCCATAGAGAAATAAGACAACTGTCTAAGAGAGGCTATATGGTGTAAGGTAAAATGCAGCCTCTTGTCAGTGTTGTTATTCACATTTTAAATGAGAAACTGGGGTGCCTGGGTGGTTCAGTCAGTTGAGCGTCTGACTCTTGATTTCAGCTCAGATGGTGCTCTCAGGATCATGAGATCAATCCCCATATCTGGCTCTGCACTCAGTGGGGAATCTGCTTGGGATTCTCTCTCTCCCACTGCCCACCCACTTCTCTCCTCCTCCTCAAATAAATAAATAAATCTTCCTTTAAAAATGAGAAACTAAAGCTCGGAGATGTTCTATAGCTTATCCAAGGTCACACAGCTTTTCAGGGTTGTTGCAAAGACTAGAAGTAATGTATATGAAACACATAGCACATGACTTGCATATAGTAGGGGCATAATAAATTGAAGGTTAATAGTCAGTAAGTAGCAGCAGGTCAAATTATTCTAGGTCAGGGAACAAACTAGTAAAATTCCAAAGGCCATGAGAGAAGGAAGAGACCTGGGTCCTAGGGAGCAGTTTAAAAGGAAAGCTTTTATGCACAATGAAAGAAAGAACTAACTAGAATACATGGAAACATTGGAGTTCATCACAGGCCCCATCCTTATCACATGCCAGGTACAGGACCCACCTGGGTCATGTCAGAGTGATGGAGGCTCCTGGCTACAAGGGCCAGGCAAGTGAGGAACAGACCTGATGGGGAGAATAATATTGGAGATGGAGAGAAACAAGTGATTGCAAAGTGATCTGCAGCAGGTTGTGGGTGGGATTTAAGTAAAAACTTAAAGAAGACGAAACCAGATGTCATCAGAGAAGAATGTGATTTTTGAAAGGGGATGATGCTTGCTTATTCTCCAAAGTTAAAACGAACTTATGTTTTTTGGGTTTTTTTTTTTATTGACTTCTGTTTCTATAGAAAAGTTTCATAAACATAATGAAACATTAGGGGAAACAAACACATATGTGAGTGACATACTCAAACAAAGAACCAGAGAGGGGCTATTTGTCAGGGGTTATTTGGAATGTTTGTTTCCTACAGGAGAAGATGGGTTTAAAGGAGACGGATAACCTGCAGGAAGGGATGTAGAGATGCCCTCACAGCAGAAGGTATGCATGAGATTTTCATAACAAACAGTGATGAATTATTTAGTTTAAGATTGTGCACCACAAAGAGTTAAAAAAAATATTCTCAATTGTTCATTTTGAATGTCAGATTTAAGATGTTTCTCATTTAGATGACCAGGCATGGAAGTGAAAATTCAATTAATTGGGTTTCTTAGGAACTGCATGTCTTGAAATCATGAGAGTTTACCAAATTAATTTTTAAAAGTTATTATACTGTATGTATCATTAGAGTAGTTTAATAAGACTTGATTAATGTAAATTGTCTGGACATAAAAACTAGTGAAAATACATAATCCTTAAATTGTCCTGGGCAGTCTTAAATCTTAAGGATTTTTTATTTTATTTTATTTATTTTACTTTTTTATTTTATTTTATTTTATTTTTAAGATTTTATTTATTCATTCATGAGAGACGCACAGAGAGAGGCAGAGACACAGGCAGAGGGAGAAGCAGGCTCCATGCAAGGAGCCTGATGTGGGACTTGATCCCGGAACCCCAGGATCACACCCTGGGCTGAAGGCAGGCGCTAAACCGCTGAGCCACCCAGGAATCCCCTCTTAAGGATTTTTTTTAAAAAAATGATACAAGGAAAAAAAATTTAATGCAAGAATGAGGGGGGATGCTGGGAAAACTTATCATATTAGCCATTAATCAAAGGGATTGTACTTGATAATCAAATCAAAAAATTTTTCAAAGACTTACTGAGTTTTCTTGGATCATCTAGAAAAAATAATTGCAGTTATTTAGGTTTAGTTATTCATTCAATATATATTGCTACATGCCATGTGCTAGGCTCCGTCTTGGTTTGGGGAGAGATACTTGTTTTCTCCCTTTAGGATTTTTATATTGGAAAGTGTTTTTGTTGCTCCCATACGTCAGTAAATCTTTATACCTCTCTGGGTAGAGATGAGTTTTGTTCTTCCCACTTTTCCTTAAGTTTTCTATACTGAACACTTTATTTTATTTGTTTATTTTTTAATTAGAGAAAAAAGCATTATTTAAAGCAAGGCAGGGTCCATCATAACTGGACCTGGGTATGTGGGGCATGCCCAGGCTGGTTCTGGCAATAATCAGTCCCTAAGGACTCCTTTTGGGCTGAAAGGTATCAGCCTGGGTCCTAGGAGTAAGGCCTGGACTCCTGGTCTAAGCCAGCAGAGTCTCCCTGGACAGAGCCAGCAATTGGTGCCTAAAATTGGGCCAGAATTCCACAATCTAGACCATGAATTGTGGTGGTCCGTGGTGAAGGTTTTACCAAACGTAGGAGAAATGAAATCACAACACATCATCAAGTACAATGCAGTAAAATTTCTCAAGCACTATTCACTTCAAAATATCTTTTTATGCAGCAGCTCTTTCTGCCAGGGGTCCTATTCCCATGCTTTAATAAAATCACCTTTTTGCACATATACACAACAAATTTATGAAGTAGCTGATATTTAACAAAAGTAAAATTGGAGACCCTCTGACCATTCCTCAAATGTTTTTTGAAATTTTACCAACCTGTGAGATCTCAAAATCTGGGAACCCCTGGACCAGATGACCTTGAATGGCACTCTGATTGTAAGGAATCATTTGTGTTTCAATAGAAAACCGATGCATTGCCTAGAGGAGGATATGCAAATTTTTTCTATAAAAGACCAGAGTGTAAATATGTTAGACTTTGGCAAGGACTTATCTCTATCTTTGTAATAATAAAGCAGCCTAGACAATATGTGAAGGACTAAGTATGGCTGTATGCCAATAAAGACTTATTTATAAAATACAGGTAGTAGGACTAAATTTGGCCCACAATTAGTAATTTACTGATCCTAGTCATAAATTATCTTACTATTAAACTGACTAGGTTATCTGACTCTAAAGGAGTGATTTTACAGCTCTATAAACTAGATAACTAATGAGAATGCAAAATAATTCTTGTCTATAGACATGCAAATGACCCCCAGCCCTGCATTAGTTGGTCAGGGCTAAGATAACAAAGTATTGCAGACCAGGTGGCTTGAAAATCAGAAATTTATTATCTCCCAGTTCTGGAGTCTCCAAGTCCAAGATCAAGGTGTTAATGGGTTTGATTTCTTGTGAGGCCTCTCTCTTTGACTTCTATATGACTATTTTCTCCTGTCTGCCCACGATCTTCCTGCTGTGGGTCTCTGTATCCTAATTTCTTCTTATAAGAACACCACTCATATTGGATTAGGGCTCATCCTAATGACCTCATTTTAACTTAATCACCTCTTTAAAGACCCTATCTCCAAATACAGTCACAGTCTGAGGTATCCCAGAGGTTAGGACTTAAACATAGGAGTTT